GCGCTCTACGTGGGGCTGCCCTTGAAAACGGCTCGAAATTCCAACTGGTCCAACGGGCAGCAGCCAGGATGTTAACTGGCGCTCCTTACAGAGAGAGGTCAACCCTCCTGTTTAAGGAGCTCCATTGGCTGCCGTTTACCTACCAAACCCAATTCAAGGTGCAGATGCTTACCTACAAAGCCCTAAACGGTTTGGGACCTGCCTACCTGCGTGACCGCATCTCCATTTACGAACCCACGCACTCCCTCTGTTCATCTGGAGAGGCCCTGCTCACGATCCCACCTGCGTCGCAAGCGTTTGGTGGGGACGAGGGACAGGGCCTTCTCTGTGGTAGCCCCCCGACTCTGGAACTCTCTCCCCAAGGACATCAGACAAGCCCCAACGTTGGCAGTCTTTAGGAAGAGCTTGAAGACCTGGCTGTTCCAGTGTGCCTTTCCAGAATAGGAAACTCCCAGCATCATGTCCCAAACGCACTTACTAGAGATTTAAGATTGCACATTGCACCTCCCCTAAAATCCTTATATTTCACCTGTCATGGCCAGCACTTTTAACTTTATCCATTACATTTGGTCCGGCCCCAGTTTTAATGTGTTATGATGTATTGTTTTATTGTTTTACTGTTACTGCTTTAATGTTTATTTGTTTGCTTTATGAGTTTTATTGTTTGTATTTGTTATGCTGTTGTTTTATTGAGGGCCTTGGCCTTTGTAAGCCACACCGAGTCCTTCGGGAGATGTTAGCAGGGTACAAATAAAGATAATAATAATAATAATAATAATAATAATAATAATAATAATAATATAAGCCGAGGCAGCTATAGGGCCATGTTCCTGACGTTTCGCCTGCATCTATGGCAAGCATCCTCAGAGGTAGTGAGGTCTGTTGGAAGTAGGAAAATGGGTTTATATATCTGTGGAATGACCAGGGGGGGACAAAGGACTTTTGTCTGCTGGAGCTAGGTGTGAATTTTTCAACTGACCACCTTGATTAGCATTTAATGGCTTGGAAGTGCCTGGGGGGAATCTTTTGTTGAGGGTGATTAGATGTCCTTGTTTGTTTCCTCTCTGTTGTTGTGCTGTTCTAATTTTAGAGTTTTTTAATACTGGTAGCTAGATTTTGTTCATTTTCATGGTTTCCCCCTTTCTGTTGAAATTGTCCACATGCTTGTGGATTTCAATGGCTTCTCTGTGTAGTCACTTTGCTTTGCATTGAATGTTTGTTTGTAGTCCTAAGTTTCAGGGACTCTGCAGATAGGTGGCTTCTTTTGGCTGCAATCATAGGGCAAGCCACCTGTCAATTATAGTTAGGTTCCCTGGTCCCGCCCCCTTTTTGGGTTTTGGAGGGAATAGGAGCCAGTTTGCGTTCAGTCCACACAGAGAAGCTTTTCACACAGGACATAATACCAAGAGCTCCTTGGTGAATAGTGGTAGTTAAAGAGCGCATGCTAAGGATTATTTCTGCGTTTGATTTATTAAAATATTCCCATCCAAATCCAAGTAACGAAGATGGAGGCATTACTTTTCATTCAACCCTCGTATTTAAAAGTTCTATATATGAGAGGAATAAAGCTGGTGCCTTTCAGCAGATGAAATGTTACAGTAGTCCAACTCCTAGATTTGGGTTTTCCCTTTGGATGGCTTCATAGCCCTTTTCTGATCCTTCAAGCCCCCATATCATAAAGTTCCCATGAGTTGGGGAAGAGACAATAGTCCCTTTCTATTTGCTGAAATGTACATTACCTTAACCTTACATTGCTCAGATGCAGAATTAAATAGTTCCTTAGACTGAAGTATTTGGATGCAAGATCGTTCACTATATTAGACACTTTTGAATTATCTTTTCTCTTGGCCCATGCTGTATGTAAAAAGTGCAATTTAATTGCACTGCTACAAAGGGATTGATGGCCCTTTACTTTGAATGTGTTTTCTTGCATGGCAGGGGAGTTGGACTGATGACCCTTGCGATCTCTTCCAACTCTGTGATTCTTCAACAGAGCTTCATTTGTAAAGATAACAACTGTCTGAATCACCCAGGATTGTGGGAATTGTAGCTTTAAAGAAACGACTATTTCTAAGCTGTGCCTTTCATTTACATTTCTCTCTTTGTTTCTCTCTTTGCACAATAGAGTCAGCAAAAAGGTGGATGGCAGTCACATACCTGCGTCCGTGAAGATGTGTCTGCAACTAGATGGGTCTGCATGATATACCCAATCTCAGACTGGAGGCACTATATCCCTTCTGCACCAAAATAGCTTTGTATTATATTGGTTTTTCCAAGGTAATAAGGTTCTGGTAGGTGAGCTGCCCTTTTGAACCATTAGTTTAAGCTCAATGCCTGCTTTCCTGTTTTCTCCCTTTGCCATTTTTTGTCATTCCTCTCTCAAGGCATTCCCTTTGCCATGAGCTTGAAACACTTTTCTTTAACAGCATCTACAGACTCAGATAAGAATAATGGTAATCCCCTACAGCTTTAGCAAGAGGTCAACAAATCCAATTTCACTCTCACTATCTATTTAAATTGGTTCTTGGCTTCAGCTACAGTAAGTAGCCAGCTGATTACTCAAAACTATAGCTGTAATGTGACTTCTAAGATTGCTGTGCCAGTTCTTTTCTTCTTTTCTCCCCCTTCCTCAAGTACTTATGAAAATGCAGTTTCTTATGGCAGGCCACTATGATCAAAATGTACTACAGCATCAATGGCAATAGTGGGAAGGAGATGTGACTGCCATGCCACACAAGGAGGAATATTGCACATTCAATAGACACATTCCAGGAAGAAGTCAGGTAATTTTCCATTGTGACATACTTTGATTGATAAGAAGAGGCAAAAGACCATTGAAGCATGTTAGCTGGCCAATCTCTTGTGGGGGTGGATACATTCAATCTATTGTGCATGAGTGAGAGAATAACTGAAATCTATGTTTGCATGTGTTGCTTATGTTGCTTATGTTATTTCACACACACACACACACACACACATATAAATGTTATAACCACGTGATCCAGCTTACTATGAAACCAGCTTATTTTATTTATTTATTATTTATTTAAAATATTTGTACCCCGCCCTTTTCAACCCCTGGGGGAGGGGGGACCCCACATAATTTATTTATTTATTTATTTATTTTATTTCATCTACTTATACCCCGCCCTTCTCACCCCGAGGGGGACTCAGGGCGGCTTACAGGAAAGGCACAATTAGATGCCCAAAACACACAACAAACAATACAAAATATAACAATTCAACAATTAAAATAAAACATCAATACCTAATAAAATCATAAAAACTATCTCATGTCAGAGTCCATATATCAGAGTCCATACATCCATTCCATTCCATTGTCCTTGTCTATCGACAGGTCCTTTAGTTAGTTGTCAGCATGGCCAAAAGCTTGGTCCCACATCCAGGTCTTTAGTTTTTTCCTAAACGCTAGAAGGGAAGTCGTCGATCTGATCTCCCCGGGGAGTGAGTTCCACAGGTGAGGGGCCACCACTGAGAAGGCCCTGCTCCTCGTCCCCGCCAGCCTCACTTGTGCCACTGGCGGGGTCGAGAGCAGGGCCTCCCCAGAAGATCTTAAACTTCGAGGTGGGATGTAGAGGGAGATCCGTTCGGACAAATACACTGGGCCGGAACCGTATAGGGTTTTGTAGGTCAAAACCAGCACTTTGAATTGTGCTCGGAATTGGATTGGCAGCCAGTGGAGCTGACGCAACAGGGGGGTGGTATGCTCCCTGTACGTCGCTCCGGTGAGCAATCACTGCCTGTTGGACTAATTGAATTTTCCGAACAGTCTTCAAAGGCAACCCCACGTAGAATGCCTTGCAGTAATCTATTCGGGATGTAACAAGAGCGTGGACCACTGTGGCCAGATCCGACTTCCCAAGGTACGGGCGCAGCTGGCGCACAAGTTTTAATTGTGCGAAAGCTCTCCCGGCCACCGCTGAGACCTGGGGTTCCAGGCTCAGCGATGAGTCCAGGATCACTCCCAAGCTGCGAACCTGCGTCTTCAGGGGGAGTGTAACCCCGTCTAACACAGGCTGTAACCCTATACCCTGTTCGGCCTTGCGACTGACCAGTAGGACCTCTGTCTTGTCTGGATTCAATTTCAATTTGTTAGCTCTCATCCAGTCTGATACAGCGGCTAAACACCGGTTCAAGGTCTGGACAGCCTCCTTGGTGACAGGTGAGAAGGAGTGACAGATTTGGACGTCATCTGCATAGAGATAGCATCTTAGTCCGAAACTCCGAATGATCTCTCCCAGCGGCTTCATGTAGATGTTAAATAACATCGGGGACAAGATTGAACCCTGTGGGACTCCACAACAATGGTTGTGGAGCCGAACAGGTGTCACCCAGTAACACCTTCTGGGGCCGTCCCTCAAGAAATGACTGGAGCCACTGCAAAGCAGTACCCCCAAGTCCCATTTCCATGAGTCGTCCCAGAAGGATACCGTGATCGACGGTATCGAAGGCCGTGAGAGGTCCAGCAGAACTAACAGGGACACACGCCCCCTGTCCAGTTCCCTGCAACAGATCATCTACCAAGGCGACCAAGGCTGTCTCAGTTCCATGTCCCGGCCTAAAGCCAGACTGTGCCGGATCTAGATAATCAGTGTCTACCAGAAACCCCTGGAGTTGTGTTGCCACCACACGTTCCATGACTTTGCCCAAGTAGGGGAGATTGGAAACTGGCCGATAGTTGTCGAATTGAGTGGGATCCAGTGATGGTTTCTTCAACAGCGGTTTTATAATAGCTTGTTTTAAGCTCGCTGGAAATTTTCCTTCTGTAAGGAGGTATTAACCATCACCTTCACCCACTCTGCCAAACCCCCTCTGGCTTCCTTGATCAGCCAGGAAGGGCAGGGGTCTAGGATGCATGTGGTGGGTCGCACCTCTCCAAGGATCCTGTCCACATCCTCAAGCTGAACCAATTGAAACGAATCCAACAAAACTGGACAAGCAGATGCTCTCGTTACATCCCCAGAGACTGTCGATTTGACAGAATTTTCACTGTGTTGTTAAATACATTCTATACAGTCAGGAAACAACTGGCCAGTAGCACAGTGTCATAACACGTCTCCTTTCCAGCCTCTGGAATGTACACATCTTCAACAGCCACTTCCAATTGGTTAAATTGTTCAGCCCCAAAGCAGACTTAAAAGGGTTGGCTCAGGCATTCCAGGATCTGCACCCCTCTTAAAACCTAGATAGAGCACGACAGGAATGAAGCCCCACCGGATGGTGAACTGGGCGCCTTTGAAGATGTTCTGTAGGCGCTGCTTGGCCTCCTTGCTCAGCTTCGGCATGGTGGCGACGGCGGCAGCAGCAGCGGAGGAGGAGGAGGAGGGAAAAAAAGTTCAATGCAATTGCATTTTTTTGTCATGTCAGAAGCAACTTGAGAAACTGCAAGTCGCTTCTGGTGTGAGAGAATTGGCCGTCTGCAAGGACGTTGCCCAGGGGATGCCCGGATGATTTGATGTTTTTATCATCCTTGTGGGAGGCTTCTCTCATGTCCCCGTATGAGGAGCTGGAGCTGATAGAGGGAGCTCATCTGCCTCTCCCCGGATTTGAACCTGGTTATTTGAGAAAGGAATTATGTGTCAAGGTTGGTCTTTATCAGTTATTTATATGGCTCGCAGTGGTCTCAGAAAGTTAATGAAGGTAATGCGAGTCCCCTCATCTATGGTCCATCCTCCCTCAAACTGCATCAGGATGGAGAGTGGGTCATGGGGGCTCTGTGTGCCAAGTTTGGTCTTGATTGGTCATTAGATGAGGGTTGCAGCAGTCTTGGGAAGGGAGTGGAGGTACTTGAAGTCCCATCATCCATGGTATGTCCTTCTCCAAACAGCACCAGGATTTAGAGTGGGTCTTGCGGGCTCTGTGTACCAAGTTTGGTCTGTATTGGTAATTTTCTGACACAGCCTCAGGCCTTTTCCCCTCTTTGTCACCTCAGAGTCTTGGAATTTTCAGACTGGCCAATCAGAGACCATATGCAAATTGTACCTCAGTGGCAACCAATCAGAAAGCTGCCACAAACACCTCCGCCCTACGTCCACCGCACTTCCTCCGCATACAAACAATGACTTTTATTATATACATAGATTTGTATTATGTTTATCTGGTTTAAGTATGTCATTTTTTTCCTTTTTGATCATGTATTTTTTTGGTTGGAACTTAATAAAAACATTAAAAAGTAAAAAAAGTAGTGTGGAATTTATATAACTGTGCGGTGCAGCTACATCTCAGCACACAATGTTTAGTTATAGATTTCACAAGCACTATAAAAACAAACTCTGATTTTAAAACACAAAAGCCTATAACATGGGGATATTTGTGTATCTCTTCCTAGTAGCTCCAGGCTCAGAACATGTGACATTTTGTTGTGAGCCAGTTGCTGTTTTTTTCATGATCCACAAAAAGTTTGCAAGAAGCCAGAAATGGAAACATTTCAAACACTAGGAAAGTCCAGATTGAGGGTGGGGAGATACAGAACTCACATCTATCTCTGAAAATGCTTTTTTCCCTAAGACTGTGGCATTTTTATATATATAACACTGTATTCCACATCATGTTCGGAGGTTTTATGGCTTCCCTTGAGCTCTATGCAGTTAAATTCAAGGCAGAGTCATATTTGTAAAGCATCTGGATTTCAACTCACAGAGATTTGTTTTTGTTTTAAATAATCCCAGTAAAATGATTGAATTTTTTTTCTTAAAACATCATAGATCTGCTGGTATAAGATGACATACACATTGGAAAGTAATGTGAAGTAACTGTGTGTTTGCTTTCATGTTGCCTCTCGACTTAAGACAATCCTATGAATTTCCAAGGGATTTTTAAGGCAAAAAATGCTCAGAGGTGGTTTTGCCAGTTCCTTCCTCTTGATTTTGAGCACTGACCCCCTCCCCCAAGTCAAAATTAATCTATATAAATAAAAATGTAATGTTCGTTTGTGCTATTCACAGAACTCAGAAACCACTGGGGCAATTGACAACAAATTTGGACACTATGTCCCTAACAACCCAATGTATGTTCTCCACTAAAAAAACACACACACAACAAAAACCAAAAGCAGAAAGGACTTCTAAACTGCATGTCCACAAAGGAGAAACTGCATGTCTAATGATGCTGGGGAAAATGGAAGGAAAAAGGAAGAGGGACCAACCAAGGGCAAGATGGATGGATGTTATCCTTGAAGTGACTGGCTTGACTCTGAAGGAGCTGGGGGGTGGTGACGGCCGACAAGGAGCTCTGGCGTGGGCTGGTCCATGAGGTGACTGAACGAATAAACAACAACAACAAAAGTAAGTCACTTTTCTAAATTGTAATAATCCGTGGTGATTATTTTTCAGGAGAACATACGGCTTCAGCAGTACTATTTCACTCCTTATCAGAACATGTTGTAGAAAGAAAAATGATGAAGAAATGCTTATAATTGGAAGATGATATCTGGGCAAGCCATAACATCATCTGAATGAGGAATAGCACAATAAAAACCATATCTGGAAGCACCACAGGTCCCATGTCCAGTCCTTGAGATATTGAATCAAAATTGAGTGCTAGTATGAGGAATAGAAAAGACCACTATCTGAGCCCCTTATGAATTTCTAGGGAGAAACACATAGCTTCAAATTATCCTGATTTGGCAGAAAGAGTCTCAATTAATCCTCTGTCATTCTACTTTTTAGCTAATTTTCAAATATCCCTATTTATCTCTCCATCCTTTCTCTTCCTCTGTCCTTAGTTTACTCCAAATGCTGCAACTGAATTCAAAGTGCAGAAGTAGTTCACTCTTTTGCTCTCAATACAGCAGGGGGAAGACGAGAAGTGGGGGAGATCTTATCCTTCACAGTAGGTTCGGACTCTATGTGGGGCTGCCTTTAAAGACTATCCAGAAGCTTCAACTAGTCCAATGGTCAGCAGCAAGGTTGCTCACCGGAGCAGCATATAGGGAGCAAACAACCCCTCTGTTACGCTGCCGGTAACAGAGCACAATTCAAAGTGCTCGTTTTAACCTTTAAAGCCCTAAATGGTTCTGGCCCAGAATACCTGTCCGAACATATCCTCTGTTATGAACCATCATGAAATTTAAGATCATCTGTAGAGGCCCTGCTCTCAATCCCACCGCCATTGCAAACGTGACTGGTGGGGACGAGATACAGGGCCTTCTAAGCAGTGCTTGCCAAAATACTTCATCTTTGCCTCTACTATCCTTCACTCCAATGCATTTCAATGCTCAATGGTAGGACATTAAAATTTAAGGGCTAAATTTAAATTCTCTAATCATCTCAAAACGAATCCCTATTTTGTTTACAAAGCACAAATGGCAACAGTTTCATGGTGTCCAAGCAACAACCCTGAGAGATAATTCCATCACAATTTTTATTTAGGTTTATTTAGGTTTCAGACCTAATTCACAGGGGAAAACTTGCATCCCAGGAATACTGGCTGAGTAGATCTGCTTGGCATCTTACTCCTGTGATTGTTCTGCCATACGTCCCACTTATAACCTACATTTACTGCCCCGCTTTAAAGCTGGCTCGCCAACAGCTGGTTTGCATAGCGACGATGTGGGAAACGTGGGAAGCGTTCCAAATCTAGGCACATGGCAAAGCAATCATCTCACTGCTTGACTGCAGGCTGAACTCTGCATAGCACAGCAACCCACATTTCTTAATGTGCTCCTCTGGTTATGAGAGTGGGTCCTCACACTAATTGACTGATCAAAAGCAAAGTGATTTGGGCGATTCCATGCACTCCTTCAAAGAGAGGGTGTGAGCTGGTCGGAGGGAGAGAAACAGAGAGGGAGTAAAGGCTGAACGTTTCAACAGAGCTGTGAAGCAGATTGAAAATGGCAATGTCTACACAGTATGTGTGCCTGTTTGCATAAGAAAAGAGTTGGTCTCCCCATTTTCTTTGTCCATGGAGAGAAACAGGCAGGCTACTTCAGCCAATGCAAGCATGACTTGGTTCGTCTCCAACACCCTTGATATATTTATTGCTTTAACTCTTTACAACATGGCGAATATTTCCCACAGGTAAGTGATTCTCAAATAACAGGCATGACAGACCAACCACAAAACCCCTTACCGTTGCGTTCGTTCTCAACACTGCTGTGACTTTTAATTACATATAAATATTATTATATAAGGATCTTGATGGACTACAGCATGTAAAGCATACATTTCTCTTATGATACAGGAAACACACAGCTTTAATTGTGTCTAGAAATTACATATGAACTCTAGTGCAACGGGACCAATCCACAAAAAAATAAACACAGAGAGATATGCTTATCCCTTCAGTCTTCTCATGCTTAGCGCTGTTTTCCCATACTTAGCATGCATATAGAGCAGTGGTTCTCAAAATGTACTCCATGTAGCCTTTAGGGCTCCGCGAAGCATACTGGGGGGGCTCTGTGCTTCCCTCCTTCTCCTTCCTCCTCTCCTCCCCTTCAAGCTTTCCCTCCACTTTCCCGCTCCTCCCCCTCCCTGCCTCCCTGTTCTTTTCAGTTCCCCAGGCTTATGGAGAGGGCTCTGGGGGCTGAATCCTAGGACTACCTGGTAGTCAGTCTCCACAGGCCCCATACCCCATTAGACCCCAGGTATAACAGATCCCTATATAATATCACGCCACTGGACACCACTATAAAGGAATGTATGTGATCTCACACCACTTAACACCAGTAAGAAGGAAAATATCACAACCAGTGATGCGAGGCTGGAGGCTTATTGATAATATGTCTGGGCAGGATAATTCTTTCTCCACAGATTTACTTTTTTCTCAAAAATCCTCCCCCTATGCCTCCAATTTGGTAGCGAGATGTAGATAGTTATGTGTAATGGTAGAATGATCACTATCTTTCTTTTAGTATTCTTTTGGATTAAAGCTACCACCAACCCAAGTTTCCTTAGGATTTTTAAAATGCGTTTTTGAGGTAACCTTTTCCCACTTCTGCCAACACTGCTCTTCCCCCTAGCTCCCAAAATGACTGTTTGGATAAGATGCCTTTCTGTAGTATTAGTATGTTTCAGCTGCTGGAATTATCACAAAGGAATAATGATAGATTGAGGAACGATAGAGACTTTTTGAAAGTTAAGTAGAAAAAGATTTATTTATAAAAAAAACAGACAACGAACTACTTCTGGGAGGCACAAAACGCTTGACTGGTTACAAAAGTTCCACAGCTTGATAGTTGCTAGAATAAGTTTCTTCACTTAGTTACATACAGAGCTAATCAAACAGATCTAGCTGCTAGTAACAAAAATCCCTCACTCTACTTCAGAGAAATAGTAATGAGTTTCTGACTAACCTATCCTAGGTAGTCCCCTGAGTTATCAGCTAAT